CTAGGCAGGCTGTATCTGTATCAACAGGCTGCTGAAGGGTGTACTGGCCATGGCGCTAGGATGGCTGAGAGCTCGGGATACCAAACCTCAAACCTGATTTAAAGCTGTTTAACGTTGGCCAGTGGTGCGCTCACGGTAACACCTTTGACCCTCTGGGCCTATAGATCCCAGCTAAATTAATACTGCAAGCAGCTAAGCCGAACCTGCCATGCAGCCCACAGCAAGCCTCAACTCAAGCCAAGGAGGAGCTGAGAAAGAGGAGGGCTCCCAAGATGCAATGTTCAGCCAGGCCATGGTGCATGCTGGGATCTGTAGTCTCCACAGGCCACACCTCCATGTTAGGCGCTCAGGCTGCTCCTTTTTCCACCTATCAGAGCAGGGCGCTCGGGCTCCTGCACTAGAGAGCTTGGCTATCCGAATCCCAAGCAGCCCCTGCTAAATCTGGACGTGTACACTCTGCTAACAACCCCTCCAGCTCCGGGCCACCTCCGCTCCAGGGGCTGCAAGCCACATGGCAGCAGGCGTTGCTTTTCCCACCTTTCTCCTGTTACAAATATCAAAATGCACCAGGCCTGTCAAGTTAGCGCTGCGCAGCGATGCCCCCCCGGCCAGGAAGCACAAGGGGTACGGGTGAGCGGCCTAGCTTTGCTCCCAGCTCCCAGCAGCACAGCCCCCCGGTTCTCGTAAGACACGCCGGCGGGTGAGGCTGCAGGAAGAATGCCCCGCAGGGTGAGAGCATGGAAGTAAGGAGGGTATCCATGAGGCAAACACGGTGGCACTGCCTGGCTGTGAGAGCTTACGGTACACGTGCCACTGTAATGCCGCATTAACGGTGCTTTTTGCCTTTAACGTAGAGCCCATTCCGCAGTGGTGGCTAAAGTCTGATCACTGTCTGGGTTCAATGGACGACGTCCCGACAGCTGGGAGGGAGGGGGATGCAGGAATCAGTCTGTCACGGCTCAGTGCTCTCTAAAGGGTTACCCTAGCTGTAGCACGTTAGGGGCACTCGTAGCAGCTCGCTTACTCTCCCGACCACTCGCCAAGACACCAGGCAGAGAAATCAGCCAACTGGGGGGAAGATCCGGTCCCACGGGCAATAGCGGCACTTTCAAGAGCTCTGAAATCGGGGGGGGGAGCCAAAAACCTGCCCATCTCCATCTCCCCCGACCCCTACTGCACCCCAAATACTCACTTGGTCCAGGTTCTGCTTCTCAGCACCTACCCCTGCCCCGGTGTTCCCAGTGCTCGAACCTCCCATCCCCAAGCCTCCAGGCCCCGCAGCAGTCCCTCAACACTTCCTCTTTTCCAAACACAACTGCTGTGGCAGCAAAAGCTCCCCTTGCACTATGAAGCCACTTGCACTCCCGCATCACACCCTTGTGCTCCCAGATTCACACAGGGGCCACTCCAATCATCCAGCCCGCCCTCCTGCAGGGCACAGCTCAGAGACCCTCGCCCAGGATTCCTGCCTCCAGCCCAGAGCTCTGGGGCCAGCTCGAGCATCCTCCAAGGGATGGAGACTTGCCCATGTGACTCTAGACTCCATTTGGCTGTAATTTTCCACAGTAAGAACAAGGAGGTGTTCTTACACCTGGAAAAGACTATATAAGGCTGATGCCTCATCTCCATCTTGTCTTCAATCCTGCTTCTTACCTCTGGAGGAACTTTGCTACAAGCTGAAGCTTTGAACAAAGGACTGAGGACCCATCCCAGCAGGGGATGTATTCCAGAGACGTGATTCGAACCTGCAGTTTATTCCATCGCTGCTGCAAGCCTGGCCCACGAACTTCCTCATTTCTGTCTGTAATTGATTTCAGTTACCCAATTCTATCCCTTACTTCCA